TTCCATCCGACTTCACATTGTGGACATAATTGTTAAATTCTACTGATTGTGTTGTGTTTCCATGACTTCTGGATTATCTTTGCCTTATGCTATCTTCAATGCTGGTAGAAACTTACATCATGCACACACTCAAAAAGAAAGACTGAAACAAAATGATTTAAAAGTCATATTTGATCCATTTAACATTCCAAATTTTTAATGCACTGTTTAGGATACATAGAAAGTTAAAGAATGACACGAAATTTAAAAAAATACAAAACATCAATTTGTAACACAGGAAAAAAGATATGAAACTTTCACTTCTAATCATCCTTGCTGAATCATTGAATTATGCCGAGAAAAAAGCAACTAATATCAACTAAATAGAAACATATCTATGGTAATATTTTCAATTTAAAAAAGAGTCTAGTAAAAATTTGCAGACTTGGATGATAAATAATAACAATAATTTTTTAGTGTTAAGATAAAAAAATTAAATAAAACTATTTTGTAGTCCCATCTTCTCTGCTTTTCCAGCTCCTAAAAAATGTCTAGACCATGAATGATTAAACTGAATATAATTTTTTGTTTAACTTCAACATTTAATTAATATTTTAAAAATTAATTTAGTCCCTTATGTTTAATAGCAATTTGTAGTTTTTCTGTACACTATGAACCAACGTTCCTTTTACTGAGCTGATATTCTATTACAAGAATGATAAAGTAAGCTAAGTGAATTTTAAACAATGCAGCTTTCAAAGAATAAAGCTTTCATTGCATAATTTATTCCTGGTGTTTAGGGCCTATATAAGGGCTTTTAAAGTGTACAATTAGCTATACAATTAAAAATGTATTTAATAACTTTACCTAAAAATAACCTAAAGCTGAGCTCAATTGACAATTCTGAGTATTTAAATTAGCATATCATTATTACAAAGCAAACACCCCCATTTAAAAAAATCTTAAAATCTCAAACATATTTAGATTTTCTTTTTATCTTTTGGGCTTTTTGGATACTAACAATTTGATGGGAAATAAAATATAAAACAAATAAATACTCTTTTAAGAGTTATTAAAAAAGTAACCATGAATTGACTGGTTGAATGAATGCTTTTTTAAACTGCAATATCCAGCATAAGCCAGTAAAAAAATCAAATGATCTATTCTAGTAATTTATAAATATATTTTCTTATTACTAAATTATTTTTAAAAAAATATTCATTATTTCTTCTGATCTCCCAGCATGTCAAAGACATGTTCCAAGAGTTGACTTTTTGGATTTCACATTTGTCTTGGTCACTTCTTAAACAAAAATTGACCATTTTATTATGGCGTGAGCAGGATTTAATATATCTTCTGGGTATGTATGGAAAGACTGACACTGGGACAAAAATTTTAATTAATACAATAACCTTGTGGATATTTTGTATTTTCAATAACATGATTTTAGAATGGAGAGAAAATAATATTAATTGTACAGAAACCAAGAATTCAAATATGTTACTATTTCATTCTATAAATATATCTAATTCATGACAGCAAAACAATATGTCCAGTATTAACATTAGCACAGGTCCTAAATGTCTAATTGGAAAAAAAATGGATTGTGCACTATTCTGCCAGTTATGAGGCGATGCCATTTATAATATAAAAAAAACAAATGCTTTAGAAATCTCACTTACGATTGTTAAAATAATTAAAATAAATCACTTTAGATTTCATACACTTGTACCATTCAATCTAATGGAGTCTTGTTTTGGGGATAAAAAATTATTAAAATTTTATTTTACAAAGAAAACAGCAAAAAATGCAATGTCAATATTGAAATAGAAATGTCAATTGATTTATTATAGAAATCATTTTAGATAGCATACAATAGAAAGATGTCATGTTAAAATGGAGATGGCAAATCTGTCAACATATTTACAACAGTGTTGTACATATAAATATATAACATTTATTGACAGAACACTTTGAGATTATCAAGATCAGTTATTTCAAAATAGAAAATAGAAATCAAATTAACAGTAGTTGTGCAAGAATTCCATATCTTTACTACACTGGAATATCATTTCTGGCATCTGGAAAATTTACCATGACCAAAATATCTTTCTTGTTTATATTTTATTAATTCTCCTTCCAAAAAAATAAAAATTAAACTTTTAAACCTAAACCTTATTATGAAGCACTTTAAAACTTTGACAGTGTTGAAAACTATATTTATATTAAAAATATTTTTTGAACATTTCTCTTGATTTTAAAAAAAATTGAGTTCACCATAATTTATCCCTTTCCCGAACCAGCTTTCATTTACAGGTACTCATTCGACAACAAAATCTTCAAATTATTTTTGATAATTTATCATTAAGTTCTCTTCACCTCCAATACCCAGTACATTTATGTGAATATTACTTGACAGGTAAAGACTTTCAAAGGTTTACACTATTTGCTGTATAACTTAAACTTACGTACACTCTTAGTGCCAATGCCTTTTCATTCTTGAATTCACAGAAGCGCAAACATGTCAAATATGATATCTTGTGAAAAGTTTTTACATTTTCCCATTTGCACATAGATTATCACAATAAGTGAGCCCCAGCTTTTCAATACAACTCAACTGATTTATAATAAAGACATTTTTAAGAACCTTTCTTATCCTTTACCATTCCTTCTTCCTCCTTCCCAAATGACATTCATTTCATAATTATGGCACATCCTCATCTATCAGTCAATCTCGTCAAGGGAAGTTTTTTTTTTACAGAAAAAATATTTTCAAATATGCTACAACTCGTGGATAAGTTGAGAGTAAAACTTGGGACTTTGAAATTCTGTGATTTTTTTAATGATTTTTTCAGATTTTATCTAGCAACAATTGCTGCACAATATAATAAACTATGGCCGATGTATGATTAACTCCAGAATTTTCACACTAGATGCTTTTATCTACATATCCATGTGTGTGAGAGCCCAACTACCGTTAATTACCCTGGCACTACTGGTAACTTGATAATGCCCCACACATTCTATGTACAAAAATTCTACAGAAACTAGCACTGACCCGTGGATAAGTCGATTCTGAGTTTTAAAATGAAGTTTACAACTAACATTTCTCAACTTACATATGAGTATATAATCTTTTTTTTTTTTTAACATCATCTTCCAAAACTTTTTATTAATTATTTATCCTGAGATTTCCTACACCTCGTAAGCATTTATGTGAACTCTATATGATGGACAACAGATCCAAAGGTCCACACTATTGGGTGTGTTATTTACACTATTCACAGAGACGCAAACATGTAACGATATGATGTTTCGGAGAGGTTTCTACATTTTCCCTTGTGTACATACATTATCACAATAACTGAGGCTAAGATATTTAACGGTACGTAGCTCTTGGGCTGATGAGTAGCAGCAGGTTGACATATCACTGTCTAACAAGGGCTTAAGCCCCTTTTAAAAATGATCTCAATCTTGACTGACCTAGGCTTTTAAATAACAGACCAATGTGACCAATTGATATGAACGTGCAAAGTAATAAAAAGTTATTTTAATCCAATAAAAACATTTAAAATAGACCTAATAAAATATGCAAAAAATTAATATAGTAACTATCAACTAAACAAAATAGAAGAGTAACAATTATGTAGCCAAATAAAAGGAATATATTTAGAGTGTAAATTAACTTTGATTAAGTTCGATTTTTAAAAAACTTATATTACACTTGTGTTATTTATTTTTTGCCATAGTGATACATTCAAGCCGAAAATTGTCCCTAAGTTCTATTTCTCATAGAGACATGAAGTAGTGTTGACACCACAGTCTGGCAACACACCCTCAGTCAGTAAAGTTTGGCTGATCTTTTAATTTTAATGAAGTTTTTTATTTTTATTTTATAGTGGTGTGTGATCATTTTCAAAGTTAAACCCTGGGAATGAGCTTTATGACATCAATCATTATTTCAGTTTGCTTTCAGAGAAAAAGAAAATGTCTGACATTGATATTATGATTGCCACAGGCTTAAAAGGCTAAGATCTCTGGTATTTCCTTGTTTAAACAATGCATGAATAATCCCATTATATTGAAGTCATATTTTTTCTATTTTTAAAAAGTAAGATTATAAATACTAACAATTTTTTTTCTCCATTTCTAGGTCAATGTGAAGGTTAATAAAATTTGAGATGAGTGTAAACTAACTTTATTTTATGAATGGAAAATAACCTTTCAGGGCTGAATAATTCTAACTATCATATTTAATAAATTGTGGAACATTTATAATAAATAAAAAAAAATAACTCAAGATATTTCAACTTTGTAATTTAAAAAAAAATACTTAACCAAGAATGTTGTGGAGATCAAAGAATAGACACAATACACAGGAATCTGAATGTGTAACACATAACAAATCATTTAAAAATTAAACATTGGACTCTGAAATCTCTTACAAGCTAAGCTAAAGCTGACCAGCAATGTTACATCTCATTTTATTTTTATGCCATGTCTGTGCACTAGGAAATAATGTCTGTGTACTAGTAACTAATGTCTTTGTACTAGGAACTAATTTCTGTGTACTAGGAACTAATGACGGTTTACTAGAAATTAAAGTCTTAGCACAATATTTTAACATCTGTGGGGCCGGTAAAGATATTGTATAAAATAATCTCTTTGTGTGAGGTACTTGTGCACCTGGTAATAATAACTAGGCCTACAAAAATAAATACAATAAAATACCTCTTTTTTTTAAAAAATTGTCTGCATCTAAATTTCTCTCGAGTGTCAGTGGATTATGCAGAACTTATTTACCAAAAGTTTGGATGCATTTTTAAAACATGAATCCAAAAGTTGTCAAACTCATCATCTTCTTGCATCATTTACAGAACTGAATTGTTTTGTTTTTATTTCAGCTGATTCTTCTAGTTGAATCAAAGATAATGATGAGAGTTAAAAGAAATGAATTTATGGTACAATCATATACTATTTGTTAACAATTAACAAGCTGATATTTTAATTAGAAAAATGAAGCAGTTTTGTCAAGTTTTCTATATTTATTTATTCTTTTCAATTTCTTCCCTAAATTACAATAAATGCTGACTACTGTGTATTTTCTCTTTAAAGTACTTTTGACTGCTGTTTATTTATTCTTTAAGGTGCTGATGACTGCAGTTTACTTATTTTCTCATGTTCCTGGTGTATATTTTATCACAATGTGTAAACTTTCAGTAAGATTTCCCAATTTTGTCCACCATAATTTCTTTTACATTACACAGTGACACAATCTGAAAAGCTCTGTCATTTGAATGAGTGTGAACATTGCTGACCAGGATATAATCTCATGATGGAGTTAAGTGCTGGCTCTGGCTAATTTGATAATAAACTACTGGATATTTAATTATAACATACATTTATTAGTAACTCCAACTTCTAAAATATTAAGTCTGTTTCAGGAATCTCCATTAACTCAAGACAATAGATAGATGTGTCATACAAATTTTATTTTAAAAAATTATTTTTTTAAAATCGCACACAAATTTGAAAATCTAGTGAGCATAATAAATAAATAGTTGTGACATCATGAACAATTATTATTAGACAAGATACTTGAGAAATACCTTAATTGGTGTAACATTGAACACATGATCTGTGACTATTGGCAAGTCATGGAATAAATACAACACACAGGTCCGGGGGACCACTAGACCTGTTATTTTATTGTGATCTAATGGCATCAATACATCATCTTCTGGTGATTGATTTCATTTATTTTTGCATAATTTCATCCGTGCAGGGCCACAGCATTGGGTTTTATATCTTTCTTGAATAAATAAAATTATAGAGCAAAATAAATCAATTAAAATCTAGTCAGTTTTTGTGAAGCGTAGGATAAATCAAATGACAGTTAAAGTGTTAACTTGATTTTTTAATTGCAAAAAAATTATTTAAAAAGCTTAAAACAATTTAGGGCCACAGGTAAAAGGCCACCTGTTTCAATATGAATTCATTAAAATGGTGAATAGAATCTAAAATAATTGATGCAAATATAATTCTGTTTTTAGAGTTCGTCTTTGGACCTGGTCAACACTTTGATTTTAGGTCAGGCCCGACACCTCTGTTCATACAGTTTTGTCCATAAGGCTGTTGTCTCAGATGATCACTCTTGTTTCTTTTCCTCCTTTGATTTTACGGGACTGTTTTCCAAGGAATCTGTTACATCAGGAAGATGAGGGGAAAGCCATTATTTCAACTCAGTTAGTTATTCATTACTATTGTGTTTATTATATAACAAACAATTAGAATTAAATTTAATATATTACACCATTGAGGAAAGTTTTTTATTTATAAGGGTGCAAAGAGTCATACTTTGTGAATATTTTGTAGAAATATTACTTTGTGTTAGAAACGTATGTTTTAAATGGTACATGATTATTTTAAAAAGTTAAAACAAATCTACAAATAAAATGTATTGATAATTAATATTTATTTATATTATTGTATATATTCATGTGAGATAAGATGAAGTAATAGTAAGTAACTTGCTGTTACTTTGATATTTGTTTTAACAGTAGAGAGGTTAAGCCTTCATGCTATCTCAAAATATAGTGCAACATTTTGTTGGTCTCATAAATACTGTTTTTTGTTAATTTATATTTTTGTGTGTTTACATGTTTAACAACAAAATTTGTTGATCACTTTTGAAGACACTATAACAGTCCTTACAGCAAGCCCCTATGACATTAACACCACCACTACACAATACATGCGACACATGGAATGGTTATACCCACTAATTATGTCCACTGGTTATGTTGATGGGTTACGTCGACACGTTATGGGATGGGGTAAAGGTTGGGGTTCAGGGAAAACAACCCATCAGTCAAAAGTTTAACAGCAAACTCTGGGTAGTTTATGCAGCATAAATACTGTCAAATGTTCTGCCAATTCTCTTTATCTCACCAAAATGAATACCAGACTAAGATAATAAAGACAAACCCCTAGACCAACACCAAGAAGTTAACCACCACACTTACACCATAAAGTTAACCACCACACCAACACCATGAAGTTAACCACCACAATAACACCATGAAGTTAAACCCACTCATGACATCTAGTCATAGCACTATAAAATGGAATAGACATCATGTTTACCATAGGGTGGTAGTGACTCAGATGTAAGGGCTGGTGGCGGTGCATCATAGGGACAGTTTTTCTCGTCCTCTTCATCCTCCTCGTCTTCATCGGGAATGTCATCGAGAGGCTCCATACAGCAGAGGCTGTAGCAGATGAAAGAGATGATGAGGGTTGGCAGACCAAACATGAGGAGAAACAGCCACCTTGAGGCTTGCCATATACTCTGTAATAGGATGATGCAGGATCAGAGTGGGACACATCATTGAACCAATCACACAAATAGCTAACTTAAACATAATGGTATGCTACAACAATGAAATGTGCTTATACAGACTTGAGCTGGGGTCTCAAAAAAAGAGCCTAAAGGCAGTGGCATAGCTAGGGTTGGTGTCACCCGGTGTGGCACCATGCCACTGCCTGAAGGTCCCATTCATCCTTTCTAATTTCATGTGGCCTTCAAGGGGATTGGTATGTATATTTGAACGCAAGTTCATTGCTTATAGATGCTTGAGCCCCAATCATTGCTTAAACATATTGAAACCCCAATCATTGCTTATACACATTGAAACCCCAATCATTGCTTATACACTTTTGAACCCAATCATTGTTTCTACTTTCTACTCATTTGAACCCAATCATTGCTTATACACATTAAAGCACCAATAATTGCTTATACACATTGGAACTGGAACCCCAGGTCATTGCTTATACACATTCCAACCCCAATCATTGCTTTTACACATTCCGTTGGTAATTGATGCTGTATTTAAGTGTATTAAGGCCATCAAATAACCATCCAACCATAGTCGTTATGCATGTTGTAGACCCCTGGACCAGAAGGGGTCATTGAAACGTAAAAAAGTTAGGCTTTGAGTGGTAAATAAATCTCCTGGATGGAGAAAGTTGTTGTACCACACAGTGATTGTACCACAGAGTTATTGTACCACAGAGTTATTGTACCACAGAGTTATTGTACCACAGAGTTATTGTACCACAGGGTTATTGTACCACAGAGTTATTGTACCACACAGTTATAGCACCACAGAGTTATTGTACCACAGAGTTATTGTACCGCACAGTTATAGTACCACAGAGTTTTCTTGTGGGTATATTTTTAGTTGTAATTACAAGAGAGCTGTCCTACCAAAACCAATGAGATGAGGTCATAGAACACTCTCTTTATTCCCATCAGCACTCCACTGCCACCCTTGGCCTGAAACAGAGTGGTCAGTTGGTCAGAAAATAGGATGATTTAACTCTCAGTACAACTTTCAAACATGACTCACTGACCACTAACTGATGTCATTCAGCTGTGTAATATTGCAACCTTCAACCTGTGTGATGATTTCAGTTCTAAGGAATAAAACATTATGTCAAATAAAGTTGTTTTTTTGTGCAGTTCACAGACTAAGCAAGAATTATCTCTAATATGATTGTTCACCTATTTAACTAGAAGTCTATATTATAGATTGTTCACCTACTAAACTATAAGTATGGTATCTATAAATGATCAATCATGATAATAAAGATTTGTATAATTGCTTCACCAGAGCAATCGGCACATTTGTAAACTTAGTTTCAGTGTCCTATCAGGGACCACTAAGGTAAGAGATGCTAAGCTATCACAGTGCACCTCTAATTTAAGAGATGCTAAGCAATCTCAGTGTACCACTAATATAAGAGATGCTATGCTATTTTTAGTTTACCACTAATGTTAGAGATGCTAAGCTATCTCAGTGTACCAATAATGTAAGAGATGCTAAGCTATCTCATTGTACCACTAATATAATAGATGCTAAGCTATTTTAGTTTACCACTAATATAAGAGATGGTAAGCTATCGCAGTGTACTGCTAACTGCCCTCTCACTTCCCTGCTCACTTCCCTGCTCACTGCCATCTCACTGCCCTGCTCACTGCCCTGCTCACTGGCCTCTCACTTCCCTGCTCACTGCCCTCTCACTTCCCTGCTCACTATCCTACAAGACTCATTCACCTGTTCTTTGCCTTCTGCCACACTGGTCAGGTAGTCTGCCATGGTGATCACTGTCAGATTCTCTGGCCCCGGAGTCATGTAATAGGTGTGTTCGTGGGTGTCCATGACCATGAAGACCGGGGCAGACATGAAGGACATGGCAATAGAGTTGACCGTTTCGGTCTCCGTCATCCATAAGAACTGGAACTGGCTACAGGACAGAGGATACAGTAGTGCTCAAATAGTGACAGAACTGGCTAAAGGAAAGATGATACAGTGGTGTTCAAATAGTGACAGAATGGCTACAGGATAGAAGATACAGTGGTGTTCAAATAGTTACAGAATTGGCTACAGGATAGATGATACAGTGGTGCTCAAAAACTTACAGAACTGTCTACAGGATAAGTGATACAGTGTCGCTCAAATTGTGACAGAAAGGGCTATAGGATAGATGATACAGGGGTGTTCAAATAATTAAAGAACTGGCGCTACAATATATTATACACTAGTACTCAAACAGTTAGACAGGATAGATTATACAGTGGGGAAGGGGTATCAATGGCAATAATGGGTGTTGCATGTCAAGGGGCGAGAATGAGACGTTTAAAATATGGTCCATGTCAAATATAAAAAACTGAAATTTACCAAGAATACCAACAGCTCTTTTTGACAAAGGGTCCGTGACGCTATTTACTCTAGAGCAGGGGCTGCTTGCTCCAGAGTTGGGCTTGCTTGCTCTAAAGCAGGGGCTGCTTGCTCTAAAGCAGGGGCTGCTTGCTCTAAAGCAGGGGTTGCTTGCTCTAAAGCAGGGGTTGCTTGCTCTAAAGCAGGGGCTGCTTGCTCTAAAGCAGGGGCTGCTTGCTCTAAAGCAGGGGCTGCTTGCTCTAAAGCAGGGGTTGCTTGCTCTAAAGCAGGGGTTTGCTCTAAAGCAGGGGTTGTTTGCTCTAAAGCAGGGGTTGCTTGCTCTAAAGCAGGGGTTGCTTGCTCTTAAAGCAGAGTTAGACAACCGTTTCTTAGGCAAGGGCCGGTAGAGCTATGGGGCCGGAAGGATGGTGCCAGATTTAAGGTGGTCTATACGTATGATCAGAATATTGTTATCGTATCTAAACGCATATTTAATTTAAAACATATAAATTTTAAACGAAAAAAACACTTTTTACACGAATTAAGTATGGGTGCAGTGACATTAAGACATTAAATAACTTCAAAGATAAACTATGTGAGTCTGAGCAGCCTTCTCAGAAGATCCCCTGCGAGCAATACGGATCATTAGGATGTAATAGAACTGAGCTGAACCTTAAGGAAATCCTATAATAAAAACACAAGTTGCATGCTTCTCACTGTCGGAAGAAAAGCTAACAATAATGCAAATAAAATTATTTCCATGCAATTCCTTAGGGATCTCAGCTAAAGTCGTCACACACTAATAGGCAGATCAATCACTTCCATTTGATGCTCAGCTGGGAGCTCATCAACATCACCCATCATTCAGGGAAGTCTCAGCTCTCGGTTGAAAATAAAGCAACAACCCCCCCCCCCCCCC